AGTTCTTTTGTGCATATTTGAACCAAGGCTGTAATGAGGTCAGGAGCTGAGTGGCCCTGGCAGAACCCAAACTGGGCATCACTGAGCAGGTTATTGCTGAGCAGGTGCTGCTTGATAGCACTGTTGATGACACCTTCCGTCAATTTATTGATTATTGAGACCGATTGGGCAGTAATTGGCCAGGTTGGATTTATCCTGCTTATTTTGTACAGGATATATCTGGGCAATTTTCCACATTGTCAGGTAGGTGCCAGTGTTGTAACTATACTGGAACAGTTTGGCTAGGGGTGCGGCAAGTTCTGCAGCACAAGTCTTCAGTACTATTGCTGGAATGTTGTCAGGGCCCGTAGCCTTTGCAGTATCCAGGGTCCAATTGTTTCTTGATATCATGCAGCGTGAATCGAATTGGATGAAGATGGTATCTGCAATGCTGGGTACCACTGGAGGAAGCTGAGATGGATCATCCACTCGGCACTTCTGGCTGAAGATCACAGTAAAAGCTTCAGCCTTATCTTTTGCACTGATTTCTGTGCTCTTCCATCATTGACGATGGGGATATTTGCGAAGCCTCCTCCTCCAGTGAGCTGACTGGATGTGGCAGAACTGCAAAGCTTAGATCTGATCCGTTGGTTGTGAGACTGCTTTAACTCTGTCTAGCACTTGCTGCTTATGCTGTTTGGCGTGCAAGTAGTCTCGTTTGGTGGCTTCACCAGGGTGACACCCCATCTTCAGGTATGCCTGGTATCGTTCCTGGGATGCCCTGCTGCACTCTCCACTTTTACGATACTGTGCAAAAGCTGAATGTAAGTTTGTTTCAAAAGTTTTGTTTTTAATAGAGAATTACAAATAAGAATTCTGGAGTTATCCAAAGGATCCCACAATCCATGGTGGATGCAGGCAATGAAGGCCAGGTCTTAGGGAAGAGATCTGCAACCAATGCCACTTCCAAATGCCCAATGGGAACATGATGGAAGTACTGGCGCAAATAAATTTGACATCAGTCAACTGCTTACTACAAGCATGAGCTACAGGCTGACTGATGTTGCTGACATTCCCTCTTGAAGTCTGCAAGGAACTCGGGGGAGAGCAGTTCAGGGCTGCAGTGATTTTTACTGCAACAGGCAATGTAGGGACAGCTTGCCTTACTGCAGCAACAGTTCCTGTTCCTCGTGCTTCCTTCCAGCTTCTGCTGCTGCTTCTCTGCCTCCAGCCTGAACAGAATTGCTCAAGAGATCCCTTACTTCCTGACTGTGTATCCCCATAAGATCTCAGAAGGTTATCCAGGCGGGGAGGCACTTTAAAATTAACAACCTGCCAATGAAATGTTTTCCAAACCTTTAAGGCAAGTGAAATGAGGGCAAGTGAAAATCCATTTAGGTAATGCAGAAAGATAGCACTGGACTGACAATCCGCTCTGCTAATTGTCAACAGTGCAGTGAAAGATGTCTGCATCATGGATGGTACATTCAGGCAGAAAGCACCTCTAATTACGAAGGGTTTTGATGCAGCAAACAAAGGAGAAACTGTTTCCAGTGGCAGAAGGGTCAATATTATGAACCTCGCAAAAGGTGAGGTTAACTGGCTTTGCTCTTTGCCCCCATGCACCTCACAATTCCAACATAGCGCCGACTCAGTCATGTGCTCCCCTCCCCCCACACACCCCCTCCATCCAAACCCATGGTACATTAGAGTGCCCATGCCTACCCAGTGCCAACACATTGCCCTTCACCTAATCCTAATCGTTCCTCATATCTTCCACGCCATCACATGACCGTTCCATGCCGATTCACCCAGTATGCACTACAAGCAGAGCCAGTGAAGCTTATAATGGTGCACATCCACAAATCCAGGAAGGTGAAAAAAGCGAATGGAAAACTTTCTTTCACTAAGGGAGGTATTGACTACAAAAGTAGGGCTGCAATGCTGGAACAATAAGATGTACTGACTAGGCCATAGCTGGAGTTTTGTGTACGATTCTGGTTGCCAAATTACAGGAAGGACTTAATTGCTCCAGAGACAGTACAGAGGATGTTGCATGGTTTGAAAATTACCTCTTTGAGAAAAGATTGGATAGGTCACAGTTGTTTTACTGGAACAACTCAGGCTGACAGGTGACTTAATTGAAGAGTTAAAAGCATTGAGGAACCTGGATAGGGAGGAGGGGAAGACTTGTTTCCCCTAGTGGATGATCAGTGGATGCAGGACACAGATTGAAAGTGAAGTATTCAAGGGGACATGAGGAAAAATGTTTTCACCCAATGGCTGGAATTCGGTTTCCCACTTTGGTAGTTAATGTGGAAACCCTGAACTAATTTAAAGAAAATTATTGATAAATTCCTAATTGCTGGTAAATAACTGTTTAGATTTTAAAAGTATTAAGGGATATGGAGAGAAATTGAGAATATGTAGTTGAGTTGGAATGTCAGCCATGATCCTATTGAATGGTGGAGCAGGCTCAAAGGGCCGAATTGCCCATCCTGTTCCTAGTTTCTATGTTTCTATGAATCTGGGTCTGCACCTGAAGCATTGTAACCTATAAGGCTAAAGATTTGGTGCTGGAAAGTGGTAATGGAATGGGAAGCTAGTTTATTTAAGTTTATTTAGTTTAGATTATTTAAGACAGACATAATGGGAAGAAACAAAGGTAAACTTCACCACGGCTCAAATAGGCTTTCCTACAGACAACTCAGAGATTTAGAATCAGAGAATTACACAGCATGTCTAATTGAAAAATATCAATATTGTTAAAATTAGGGGCAGTAGGCCAGGGAAATGAGGACAATTAGAAAGCTCTTTTAACAAAGGCTGTTGTGTGTAATCAACCTGTATAGAAATTCTCTGACACACCTCTAGAGCAGATGGAACTTGGACTTGAATCTTCTGGTTCAAAGTAGGGACGCTACCTACTGGAGCACAAGAGCCCTCCTTTCAACAAAGGTATAATGGACCAATCAGCTGCCTCCTGTGCTGTAATAATCTCTGTTTCTATAGGAACCAAAAGAACTGCGGATGCTGTAAATCAGGAACAAAAACAAAATTGCTGGAAAAGGTCAGCAGATCTGGCAGCATCTGTGAAGGCAAAAACAGAATTAACGTTTCAGGTCCGGTGACCCTTCCTCAGAACTGATGGTGGCTGGGAAAACGTCAGTTTATATGCAGAAAATAGGGAGGTGGGTGGGGTAGGGAGTAAACGATTGGATAGAGCCCAAAGAGAGAGAAAGACAGTTGGACAGACAAAGGAGTTGCTAACGATCGTTAGCAACTCCTCTGTCTGTCCTAGCAACTCCTCTGTCTGTCCAACTGCCTTTCTCTCTCTTTGGGCTCTATCCTATCGTTTACTCCCTACCCCACCCACCTCCCTATTTTCTGCATATAAACTGACGTTTTCCCAGCCACCATCAGTTCTGAGGAAGGGTCACCGGACCCGAAACGTTAACTCTGTTTTCTCCTCCACAGATGCTGCCAGACCTGTTGAAGTTTTCCAGCAATTTTGTTTTTGTTTCTGTTTCCATAGGTACGGGCTTTCATTGTGTCCATGATAGAATTTTCTCCCATTCCTTCATGGGACGATACCATACCTGGTATGGCACACAGCCATATTTTATCCCCAGTCTTTGTTGAGATTGTTAATTTCAATTGTGACTGCAGAGACATTGCAGCTGGTATTAGCCTCCAAATTGGAAAGAGAAAAATTCTATCAGGGTTCATGCAACTGATTTGCTGAATACTGTAATGCGTGTGCGCTTCTGTGTGAACATTATTTACAAGACGTGGATGTCACTGGCCTCGAGTACTCTGGAGAAGGCAGAGGTGAACCACTTTCCTGAATTTAATTGATTGGTTTGTGAGGTCATTTCAGAGGGCTGCAAAAGAATCATAAAATCCCTATAGTGTAGGAGCAGGCCATTCAGCACCCCCCAAGTCCACACTGACTCTCCAAAGGGCATCCCACCCAGACCCACTCTATAACCCTACATTTCCCATGGCCAATCCACCTCGCCTGCACATTCCTGGACATTATGGACAATTTAGCATGGCCAATCCACTTAACCTGCACATCTTTGGACTGTGGGAGGAAACCAGAGCACCCAGAGGAAACCCACGCAGATACAGCGAGAACACGCAAACTCCACAAAGACAGTCACCCAAGAGTGGAATCAAACTCAGGTTATTGATGCAATGAGGCAGCAGTGCTAACCATTGAGCCACCATGCCACCCTACAAGTCAACTGCATTGCTGTGCACCATATATAGGCCAGACACGCTCACAGTGGCAAGTTTTCTTCCTTGATGGATGCAAGTGAACCAATTTTTTGTTTTACAACAATCCAGTTATTTTGGGGTCACCACTATTGATATTGGTTTCTTAATTCCAGATTTATTTAATTTAAATTTTAAAACTGCCAATGTGCAACTTGACCCACAGAAAATTAATCCAAGCTTCTGGATTACTAGTCAAGTTACAGAACGACTGCACTACTGTTAACCAATAATAAGGATGGTAATCTGATGAGGACAGAACTGCCTACTTGCATGTAAATGAAAAGGTAGTCGAGATTCAGTTTCAAAGGGCAATGTTCTTTGGACACCTACAGGGGGAGGCAGCGAGGCAGCAAGAAATTGGTGGGACATTAAAAGACATCATATGCTGATATCAACACTGTGTTCTTCCTCTACACTTTTTTTCTGTAAAGGATTTACTGTTTCATTGGGATGAGCTAAAGAAAAGAAAAAGCCAGCATACAGGGGAGAGAAAAAAAACCCTCATAATTTATATTCTCAAAGACATTTCATCCATGATGAGGTTCCTTTGTAGAAATCATCATCTCCAGCTGTCAGATGTACTGACTATGATGAAGGATTGGGAGGGATTGAAATGTCTATGTGTACCAGGCATTTTCATGAATTCACCCGCAGCAGTTTGATGGAACGGCTTCATTGTCTCTTGTTACTGAAACAGATCACCCTTCAGACTGCTGTAATACAGCCCTGTCACTCACCTCCCAGACAGGCTCCCATCGCCAATGCAAAAATCAAAGGTTTCACCGGTAGGTTTACATCTGTGTCCTGGCTCAGATTTAACAGCACGGGAATCTATTAGAACAGAGGACGACACGTTTGAAACCATTTTTTTATTCCCATTGAATGGCATTCAACTTATTATAATGAAGAATTAATTAAAATTTGCCATTGTCTGTTTTCCAAATGCAGATCAGATTCCACTGTACCAATGTTATAATTGAAATCATTTTTACCAGTAGCAACGGTTTAACAAGCAGCATTTATTGAGAATTTGTGCTTCCTATATTAATAGTGTTTTTGGAAAACGTCACTTTCAGTCTGTTTTCCTCTAGTGGTCCAGTATGATTGCCTGCTTTATAATTGCAACAGTTTCTCTGAAATTACCTCTTCCATGTATGTATTTGTGTATATTTAAAAATGAGTCTTGGTTGAAGGCAGTTTCGTCTGTAATAGAGGAAAGGTACTGCTGCTGCAGACAGGACACAAGAAGAGTTCAAATCATTCACCAGCACAATCCTATTTTTGAGGTGAGGAGCAAAATGCCTGCAAGCGAGCAATGCTCTACATATAGGCCATGGATTCAGCTATCATACAGGTCTTCACTCGATGGGTTGCAAAACAAAATAGATGGAGAAATAATTGGGGGCTTAATTTATCTCAAGTACTTCTTTACAAATTCTGTCAAAAAGAACTTTTACATAACACATAAAGCTGAACCTTATTGAGGACGAGTTAGCAGACAGGAAGGACATTGTAAAAGTGAAAGGAGGTATTTATTACTGAAAGGCCATAATTGAACAAGTGATGCGAGGTAATTTATTAGTGAAAGGAGGTGAATACAGATAACATACTAGAGCAAGGATGTAATGAGAAGTTAATAGTTAGTTAAAAGAGGTTAGGTGCACACTGTATGGAACAAAATCATTTTTTTTTCTAACAAATTGTTTATAATTTCATCACACAATGCAAGTTAGGAAAGCTACAGCACAGCATAGCCATCCAGCTCATCATCTTCCTGCAAGCATTCTGCAAGAGTAAGTAAGCTGTCCACCACACTTGTCTTTCTTTCCATAACCATGCAAATTTTGTTCTTCCAGATATTTGTCCAAATCCTTTTACAGGCCTCAGGGGAAATTGTATAGTTGTAATATCACTGGAATAAAATCCCAAGCTAATATTCTGGAGGCACAGGCTCAAATCTCACAATTTCACATGCTGAATGTGAATTCCATAAAAATGTCTGGAATAACAGGCTGGTCTAACGGCGAATGTGTAACCATTGCCAATGAAGAACGGTCATTGGACCTGAAACATTAACATTGATTTCTCTTTACAGATGCTGCCAGACCTGCTGAGTTTTTTCTGTTTTATGTTTTTGTTTCAAAACACCAGCTGGTTCACTAATGCCCTTAACAGAGTGAAGCTGTCATTCCTTTTGGTCTGGCCTACATGTGCTTCAGACGATACAGCAATATGGCTGTCGTGATTGCAATCAGGTGGATCTCATTGACTATGAGATCATTGATTGGGGTTATTGACCTGGGCCAATCAGGGAACCTGGCTGACCAATATAAACAGGGGATTTAGAATGTCCTCACTTCAGGGTCTGACTCCGAGCTGGCTAGCCACAGTCAGGGTATTGTGTACAAGTAAATAAAGGGTGACTTGGTGATAGGATACAGGCCTCTGTGCACTTATTTCAATGACTGACTCTCAACAGCCTTCTGAGCAATCAGGGATGAACAAACGCTGGCTAGGCCTGAGATGCCTGTGCCCAATAGTCAAATAAAAATAAATTGAATCTGCCTTTATGATACTCTCAGTCAGGGCTTTTCAGATCTCACTGAATAATAGGAAACGTTCTGGTATCATTGGTGGGCAGATCAGCTCTTTTGTCCCAATTAATTTTTTAAAGTATTTCAGTCCGTTCAAATAATTCATAATCCTTGAAAGGGGCAGAAGCAGATTAAAGTCCACTCCATTGCATATGTTCAGATGAGGTCAACTTTGACATGGGAGCTTCCGAAATGTCTACCTTCTTCCTCAACCAAGGATTCCCCAGCACCGTTGTTGACAGGGTCCTCAACTGGGTCCGACCCATCTCCCGCAACTCTGCCCTCACCCCTTCTCTTCCCTCCCAGAACAGCGATAGGGTTCCCCTTATCCTTACCTACCATCCCACCACATCCCATCCACATCCAGAAGATCATCTGACACCATTTCTACCACCTCCAGCGAGATGCTACCACCAGACACATATTCCCCTTCCCTCCCTTGTCCTGCCTTCCGCAGGGACTGTTCCCTCCGAGACACCCTGGTCCACTATGCCTTCACCCCCAACATCCCCCACGGCCCCATGGCACCTTCCTCTGTAACCAGCAAAGCTGCACTTCCCAGAATCCAGTCTACTGCGTTCGTTGCTCACAATGTGGTCTCCTCTACATTGGGGAAACAAAGCCTAGACTGGGTGACCGCTTCACACAACATCTACGTTCTGCTCGCAAAAAAGCTCCTGTTGCCTGCTACTTTAATAAATCACCCTGTTCCCTGGTCAACGTCTGTCTCAGGCCTGCTGCAGTGCTCCAGCAAAGCTCAGTGCAAGCTGGAAGAGCAACACCTCATTTTCTGCTTGGGGACCCTACAGCCCTTTGGACTCAATGTCAAGTTCAATAATTTTAGGGCCTAAACTCTCCCATGTCCCAGCCCCCTACCCCACACACCAGGCCTTGTTACCACATAGCCTGCCATTACACACAACCCTTGTTAGTCACTAACAGTCCCCATTAACAACTATTCACCCTCCCAGCCTAATCATTATCAACTCCTTTATCTATCCAACTGCTCTTCTCTCTCTTGAGGCTCTATCCTATCATTTACTCCCTACCCCATTCCCTTCCCTATTTTCTGCATATAAACCAATGTTTTCCCAGCTACCGTCAGTTCTGATGAAGGGTTACCGGACCCGAAACATTAACTCTGATATTTTTCTTCACTGATGCTGCCAGACCTGCTGAGCTTTTTCCAGCAACTTCTGTTTTCGTTCCAGATTCAAACTTACCTGTAGAGGAAGTAAACTTGGAGAGATAAATATGAATGCCAATTGAATGGATGTTGGCCATGCTGGATGGTTGACTTTGTAACTTGCAAACATGTATTATCTATCACTCTAGAATAGACTTACCATAGTGGCTGTAAACGGAATATTATCTATCAGGGATGAGGCCAGAGAAGAGACCCAAATGACGAGGATTAAAGCGACAGAGAGTCTTTGTTCTTCCGGAACAGACTGTTTGGAGAGAAATTTTTTTAAAAAGGAGGAATATTGGGAGAGAAAAATTACACGACATGATCATACTATGTTTTTGAATGTGAAGGAGCTGATTGGACAGTAGGTGAGGTCGGCACCCAATCAGAGTCACCATGCAGCTACAGGCGGTGAGAACCTGACATCAGCAGCAAATGCAAACAGTGACTATGTTGGGGGTCACTGGGGCTTTGCTGAGGAGAGCTGGCAGCTCATGAACAGGCAAGAAGGAGAAGGAAAGTTCTGAGTGGCAGTGGTTTCCAAGTTAAGTTGCAGTGCTCCATCCAGCAGTTGTTGAACCCTCAAATTCCACAAAGAAACAGATGGAAGCAAATCCTGTGTTGCCCTGTGGTAATTGTGCACCAGACAGCCTTCATCTGCTAAGATATTGGAAGTCCCATTCTATTCTGCTCAGGCCCCTTAACAAGCTCCATAAGGGGCCTGTAATTGGTAGCAAGTAGGATCTCTGCCCCTTTGTATGTTGCAAACTGAGGGACCCCTGTGGTGCAATGGCAAAGTCCCTACCGCTGGGCTGGGACGCCCAGAGTCAAGTCCCACCTGATCCAGAGATGTGCCATGACATCTCTGAAGAGTTTGATTCAGAAAATATCTGTAAATTGCAAACTGTCCTGGAAACAGCAGGTAATTTTGCCAACCTTCAGGCAATGCAATATCTGTTGCTATTTCAATCGGCAATTGAAAATCGTGCCCAATATTTCACACAGATGACTTTTCATCACAACTCAGATGACCTAAGGTCTTTCACCTGATCTGCTAAGAGTTCTCTTTTATTTCAGGTTTCTAGTAGCTACAGAATTTTGCTGTACTCTGGAAAGACTAAGGTGCTGTTGCATTATTGTACTGGAGTCCCAAGTTAGATATGGACTTGAAATGTGTGAGGGTCACATTCAGTTGATAAGAAGATTTTAATTAAAAATAATCCTGTACTATTTGGAACTAAAAAAATGCAATAGTAAACTCAACTAGAAATATAAGTGACAAGCTGTATAATAAGCAAATTTTTCTAGTTCTTGACATATTATGGGATCCTAAAACAATACTAATAAGCCTTTGTTGGAGCATTTCAGTGTTTATTAAATATCAATTGTGTTAAAAATTAAACTTTTAAAAATAAATTTGGCTTTGATGACTTCTTAGCTATTAAAATATGGACAATGCAGGTCAAAATTTCTGTGGAATACAAAGGATCATGGTAGCAGGGTTATAAGTTAGTGCTGCCATTTTAACTACCTACCAGGAAGGACTCAAACCAAGGCCTTGCATTTCTCTCACAGCCAATAGTCTCCCTCTGCCAAACAGATGCTCTCAAAGGCAGAGAGAATGCCAGGGGCTCTCCTTAAATATTTTAATTAGCCTGATCTCAACTGACCACAATTATCTTTCACCAGCCACACAGACTGCTGGCAAGAAATTTCTCCTGTTCTTAATTTGCAAAGAAAATGATGTTTTAAAATGCATGGGACAGGAAATTTAAACATGGAATGTCGTAGCCTTCATGCTATAAATCACACTTCTTGTGACTCAGCCACCCTTGTCCAGGAATTAACTATTGCCCTGAGACCACTTACTGATGTTCAATGTTGCTACCAGGTACACAGAGATCACCAAACCTGTGAAATTGACCTGAAATTAACAAGCAAGTGCAAAAGGAAATTGCACACTTGAATGGTGTTAATTTATGACAGATCTCTAGCATCACTGTTGTAATATGCCATCTGGCTAGCTGCGTTACGTAAGCACTGATGTGTCAAAGATTGGTGCATACTACAAAAGCTAGTCTTCTCCTTCACAAGCAGAATGTCTAGTTCATGGATTACTTGCTCCCATTTCAATTAGACGGATTCTTAGATGGGTAGTAAGTCCACTTCAAGATCTGCAGCCTTTGCCACTTATGGAGCAGGCAGTATTTGACAGGTAAATGGTTTGTTTGGGAGTTTGTGTGCTCCCTCTGATATCTCAACTTCACCCCTGCTCATTTCCAATGAAGCCTCTCGATAGGTGTGGTGACTTCCTGAATGAGCCTTCTCCATTTTGATTGGTCACCTGAGCCAGGATATCTCATGAGTCATGGGCACAGTTGACCACTTGTTGGATATTTTGAGGACATCCCTAAAGCCTTTTGCAATGACCACCTGAAAAGATATATGGCAGCATCATTCAAATATACCTGGAACATGGTGAGACATGCCAGCCCTACTTGTGACAACTCACTTTTAAATTGCTTCGCGCAGGAATGGGGCACCTGTCTGACAATCTGCAAACCATTGGCTGCATGGAAAATAGACCTTCTGCTGTGTTCACCTCGACTTTTCCCAGCAGACAATGGACTGAATGACTTTTTTGACTTTGAGCACTGCCAACATTTTTAAGTACCTCCTCTTAATCTGTTTATTTCTAATCCAATATCTTTGCTAATTTATCCTATACTGCCACTGGCAGCATTCCTGTCTTCAGCAAAGACATATATAATGCTTGATTAGTGACTCCTGCCCCATTAGATGATCACTCTGTCCTCATACACTCCTTATTTAATTTCAGTCTTCTCTGTAATCTTTGTATTTATCCAAATTCTCAATTGAGTTATAAACCTGGCATTTATCTTGGGTCTAGATTTTCTGGTTCATTTTAATTTCCACATCTTTACATCATCCAGGGAGCTTGAATTTTGGATGCCAGTTCAGTCTCTCTTGTGGGCGTAAGGTGCAAAATTGATACCAACTGAGATGCAGCTGGCATAGTTAGCAGGCATCCTCGCATATTTTTGGGATAACTGCTGCTTACTATTGTTACAGGTTCTTCTTCACAAATGGAATCTAAAAGTAACAGTAACCATCAGATAAATCAGCCTTTGGATGGTGAAGGTAAGAAGCAACAAATTATTTCCTCTGTGCTTCTTCCCAAGGTTACCTTTATCAATGTAGCCGTCTGCTCTCCAATGTAGTCAATCAATTGCAGGTTAGCCAGTGCCTAGAAGAGAAATGTTAAACAAGAGAAAAATCAAGTCACATGCAGAGTCACAAGAAGATGAAAAAGGAATATGATAGTTCACTCGGTACACAACAGTTCAGCAAAGATGTAACATACATCTGGAAGATCTGTTCTATTTAATGACATATTTCTGCTGGTACACTAACACAGTTGTATAACACAGTTATCCAATTTAGGAGAGATATCACAGCTTCCTGACTTCTGCTTTAAGATGTCTCCTTCAAAATTATTATCGTTTTTAAAGTTTGATTCTTATTTGGTTTTATAAGCTTCTGGCAGCTTGCAAGGAATTACAGGCTTCCTGGAACAAACACTATTTCAGTTTCAGCTGAAACAATCTATAATAAATACAGTGTTAAAGCAGCTCAGATTTCAGCAATAGCTCTCTTGCTGTGTTATGAGTTGTGAAAGTAGAGACTTAAAACAGTTTAAGCAGAGTTGAAGCCCATTATCTTTCTTTGCCATTCTTTTTACCCCATTCTCTTAACCTATTTTTGTTACATGGACATTATTGTACTTTATTTTTAATGGACCATATTCTAATTTTCTCCAGAACTTTCTTCAAAGAGATGTGAAAATTTCAGTCATAATTTTGTTATGATCCAGCTACCGTTACCACTAGTCAACTCAGATCCCCAAATGACAGAATAAATTACATTTTCTATTTTTTTATCTAATTTAATGTGACAGTCCTTTGTTGAAACATAAGGCTACAATGGTACAGGTTTGATTTTAACAATAGAACAGAATTTTATTACACATAAAAAAAAATCAAATAATGTAAACAGGAGGCAGTTTTGTGCTGGTAATGTCACTGAATGAGTAATCCAGAACCCTAAATTAGTATTCTGGGGCATAGGTTCAATTCCCCGTGATGGTGAAATTTAAATTCATTAAAAACCTGGAATTACAAGCTCACCTCATAGCAACTTTATAACTATTGTCGTAAAAACCTATCTGGTTTACTAGAGTTGTTTAGGTTAGGAAATTTGCCATCCTTACCTGGTCTGGCCTACATGTAACTCCATATCCACAGCAAAATGACTGGCTTTTAACTTCTTCAGAACTGAAAGAATTCATATCAGACTCTCAACATTAGCACTATTTCTCTCCCCACAGATGCTGCCAGACCTGCTGCATTTCTCCAGCAGGTTCAATGCTTGTTTCAGATTCCCAGCATCCGCAGTTTTTCCTTTTATAAATATAGGGAGGTTTGTTAAAAATTTCTACTGCTCTCATTAGATCACAACTAGAATGCTGTGAACAGTTTTGGTCCCCTTACTTAAATTAAATCGGAGGCAATCCAGAGAAGATTGACTAGGTTGAACCCAGACATGGAGGGATTGGTCTTTATGAGGTCGGGTTGAGTAGCTTAAGCCTATACTCATTGGAGTTTAGAAGATGACCATAATGAAACATATAAGATTGTTGAGGTGCTTGAAAAGGTAGTTGCAGAGAGGTTTTCTCCCCATATGGGAGAGTCTAGAACCACACAGCCCAATATCAAAATAAGAGATCGCCAATTTAAGATGGAGATAGAAAGAATTTCTTCTCTCAGAGAGCGGTGAATTCTTTACTGCTCCCATGTCTTAAGGTCCTATTCCCTTACACCATCACTTTACAGTTACTCAAAAATCAGAGAAATTGTCCTTCCCTGTCCAAACTTTGCATTTCGTTAAACGATTTTTTCCTCAGTTCCTATGAATCATTTTCCTTGAACCCTCACACGTCTAAAATTTAATACTTCCTCAGTTTTGAATAACCCAATGTAGAGTTTTAATTAGACAATCCCGGACTGGAAGCTTCACAAACTACACCCTTTCACATATTTCCTTGCTGCTCTAAGCAATCTCCTTTATCTAGGGTCAGGTCTCCTTCAAACATTCCAGTCTCTGGGATTTTCGAAGCTAAAATTAATCCTTGATTATTCTCAACTCAGAAGCAAGCTAATGCCTTTCAATGTCTTCTCTCTTCTTTCATAAATCCCTATCATATAAAGAAATTCTATTAACACACCAAGCGGCTTTCAGTCACCTGCTCTCTGACACATACGTTTAAAATCATGGCTCCAGAAAGACTGACCTAGTTAATTAAATTTTTTAAAAATCCTTTTCAAAAATCAACAAACATCTTTATACCACTAATCTGAAATTCAAACTCTAAAACAAAAGATATTAACATATTACACACCTTTAACATCCTTCGAAATAGCTTCCAACAATTTTGTATGTCAAATGTTAAGCTAACTGGCCTAGAGTTTCCAGATAACTTCTTTTTGAACAAGGCAGTCGCTTTTGCCATCTTGCAGTTGAATGGGACCTTCCCCAAATCAAGGGATTTTGGAAAACTAAGATTATGGGGATTTGGGGGAACGGACATGAGGTCAGGAAGCAATGTGAAAACAAGGGTGAGAACTTTAAAATCAAAATACTGCTTGACTCAAACATATAGAAACCTTTGAAGTTATATGCTTGCCGGAAGTGAATAGGTGATTGTGGTATACCAATAGTGAGTGTATGCTGCCGATATTCTTCTGCTGTGTCCATTATAACAGAAACATAGGACATAAAAGGAAAAGAGTGTAGCCTATGTCAGATGCCATCCACTATACAGACAATATTCCAGCAAGTTCCCAAGTTCTGATTCAGCCCTAATTCTAGGCACTCCAAAGATTCTCCTTTGTTCTCTCGCACCTCTTATCAGATATATGTTCTTCATGAGTCTCATTGCCTTATTCCCTTTCCTGAGCCAGATCTTGCCTAGTTAAAATCCTCTTCTCAAGCAATGCTTGCTGGCATGGTCAGTTCCTCCTATGGCATCAACTTCCAGTCTTATTATTATTCTTCCTCATTAAATATTCTATTTCTCACACTCCATGCAGTTGACAACATCCCTTGCATATATCACCAGCTAGTTCTGTGCTCACTTCTTCCAGTTGTTATGCTGTCCACAGATTTTCCAACACTGCACTCCATCTGCCATAGTTCTGCCTGTTCACTTAGTATTGCCATGTCGCTTTGCAAATATATCTTCCCAAGGTCACATCTTAACTGCTCTTCCTAATTTAAGATAAATACACAAAAATTTAATGGCAGCCGTTGGCAGAGTCAAACAGTCCAAAGTCAAGTTAAGATTCCCCGGTATCATATGACACAGTGCTGGAACTTCTGATCTATCAGGTATCTGGAATAAATTCCAACAATTCGCAACCCATTGAGTGTAGAAATTCCTTCTCACCCCAATCCCAAATGATTGGTCCCTTATCCTAAGATTGTGCTCCTGTGTTCTAGAGCCCAGATACAACTGAGCTCTTAATCTTGCTAAAAACGAGTCTAGTAACAAATATAAAGTACCTCCATGAGGATAAAGAGTGCAGCAAAGAAAAGAAGGGTTGCCCATTCAACTCTGTGCAGTATAATCTCAAAGTCATGGCTGTCAGTCAGCACCAGAAGCCATATTGCACCCAACATTCCAATCCAACCTGTTAAAAATGTACAGCTATGGTTAATATAAGAACAATACTTCAGATAAAATATGTAACATCAATGTAACAGAATAACACATACTCAATCAAAAGTATCTCTAGGAGCTTTATTTGAAATTATTTTCCTCACAGTTTTGGCTATCAAACTGTGTGTGATAAATATGAAACAGCAGCTCATTTTGTGCATCTGAAAGCACTGCCAAAAGCTAATAACTGATGCAAATTAAAACAATTAATGATTTAGGGATTCCAGGTGGTGACTTGGATTTCAGTAGACAGAACCAATTGTGTATTCTTGTTATATTTCAGTGGTAGTTCCATATCACAATTATAGCTGGAAATGTTAAGTAGCATGTCTTGAAAAGACAAATAAAAATGAGGAGAAACAAATAGCCGACATTTATAAAACATTTTAGCAGGCCCTCACAATGGCCCAAAAGACTTCACAATCAACTGATTACTATTCAACCACAATCACTGTTAAAGAGCCAAATGTTGCAGCCAATGTGAACACAGTAAAGCCAAAGAAACAAAGAGAAAGTTGACTTAACAGGAAATCCATTTTATTTTCATGGTGTCGGGCAAGGAATGAATGGGCAACATTCATTTGCAACACAGGTGGGATGGACAAGGTTTTCATAAACTAGAAGCAAAATACTGTGGATGCTGGGGATAAGTGGCCATACTCAGCAGTTCCAACAACATTGGTGACAAGAGAAACTAAGGTACTGTTTGGAGTCTTCTGCAGAACTGGAGCTTTGATTGAACCCCTTGGATGACAAGGCACACTTACCTTGGTCTGAAATGTGTCATTGTAGTCTGCCTGCTGTAAATAGAGTTGAGATTTGAGCATTACATAATTGTTCTGGTCTTTGACTGATCCCAAAGCTCGAGCTAACTGCAAGCACCACTGCTTTTAGAGAACAGCAAGGTGTATACCCTCAAGGGCAGCGCAGTGACTCAGTGGTTAGTACTGCTGCCTCACAGCACCAGGGTCCTGGGTTCAGTTCCACCCTTGGGCAATTGTCTGTGTGGAGTTTGCATGTTCTCTCTGTGTCAGCATGGGTTTCTTCTGGTTTCCTCCCATAATCCAAAGATGTGCAGCTTGGATGGATTGGCCATGCTAAATTGTGCATGGGAGAAACAGGGATGAGGTGGTGGGTCTGGGTGGTATGCTTTTTGGAGAGTCAGTGTGGACTTGATGGGCCAAATGGCCTGCTTCCACACTGTAGGGATTCTATGATAAGTGCGGAGCACCCACAGCTCACACTCCTGAGGTCAGTCAACACAGGGTGCTCACATTTTGTGTCTGAGCAAGAAGAGGTGAAGGATGGAATGAGAACATTAAAATTAAGCCTCCTTTTTCATAAACATACTTTAGTTGTAAAATATCTTGAAGTACATTACAAAACATTTCAAATGGGACATTGGGGAAAATACCATAGAATACCACGTTTCTCAGATGAGAACTTTGCCCTCTTTGGTGCCTCACTCCAATTGCAAAATGTGACATTCACTATAAACATTCAGTTACAAGCAAAGAGGCCAAGTGGTTCTATACGTTACCAGCCCCTCAGTAAATGGGGCTGAATTGTCTTAGACAGTGGACTTTCCCCATGGTGCCTTTGAGGCAGCTACCTCAAGCTTGAGTGCATCCTTCACCATGGATCTTGGAATGTGCCAGTCTGGACCAGTCGGTCGAGGACAACTCTTTGCACATCTAGTTTCCGAGCTCCTTTCGCCAAGTTGATGGTTCGCCAAACACAGTTGACACAAAATTGAGCTGTTGTTGAACTGGGAGTCAATGTAGATCGGTGAGCTAAGGGCTGAATCGGACTTTCTGGGATTTAGGATCGTAGAGGAGTTTTTTTTAAAAAATAAGCTCAAATACATTGAGAGTAGAAGCTGGCACATGATTGACCAGGATAACATCGAAAAATCAAATCTGACAAAGGACACATAAAAGTTCTGCATGTTGGCAGAAATGCAGGATATGCATTTCTTTTAATAAAACAGACAATCTTAGTTTCTCCATGTAATTGAAGAATTTCATCCTCTCTAGCATTCCAGTTAACTTACATCGTTTCCTCTTTCAGGCCTTGACATAAAACCTAAAGTGTTGAGCTGTCAATTGGATGTAGTGCCCCCACAGTGAAATCAAAACAATTTTTATAACTTCCTTACTTCTGTAGGCTGGATGGCTAGTTTGTGATGCCAACAGTGTGAGTTCAATTCCCACACTGGCAGAGGTTACCATGAAGGACTCTCCTTCTCAACCTCTCCCCTCACTTGAGGTGTGCTGACCTTCAGGTTAAACAACCACCAGTCATCTCTCTCTAATGAGAAAGCAGCTCTGTAGTCTGGTAGTACTACAGTGACTTTACCTTTTACTTCTTTTAACTAAGCTAAGGTTCCCATAAGCCTTTTAACAACTTTCCCTACTTTCCAGCCATCTTCAGTCACTTGTATACCTGGTCCCACAAGTGCCTATGTCTCAGAAAATGAGGGGATTTATTTTTCTTTCCTTTAATCATTCACGGGATGAGGGCGTCGCTGGCTAGGCCACCATTTATTGTCCATCTCTAATTGCCCAGAGGGCAGTTCAGAGTCAACCACATTGCTGTGGGTCTGGAGTCACATGTAGGCCAGACCAAGTAATGATAGCAATTTCCTTTCCTAAAGGACATTAGTGAACCAAATGGGTTTTACCGACAATTGACAATGGATTCATGGTCATCAGCAGACTCTTAATTTCAGATTTCTATTGAATTCAAACTCCGCTATGTGCCACAGTGGGATTCAAACCTGGGTCCTCAAAATATTATTTGGGTCTTTGGATTAATAGTCTATCAATAGTACCACCAGGCCATCGTCTTCTCTCAGAGACTGAAGAGTGTTTGGCACTCTTCCTTAAAACGCAGCAGAAACAACGTCCTTGAATATTTTTAAGGCAGTGGTAGTTAATTTTTTGAGAAATAAGGGGATATAAGATTATATGAATAAGCAGCAATGAGAAGTGATCAGATTAGCCATGCATTTATTGATTGGCTCAAGGGCTGAGTAAACTACTCTTGATCCCACCTCTTATGTTCTTATCATGTTGCTTTTTCCTGAATGTGGGTTCTTTAAGAGATTATTTTACCCTTTATTTGTATTTGCTTTCTACCTAATTAGTTTCTGCCAAGATATCATGCTAATGGGATGAACAGACAATCTGCTTCAAGGTCTGTGTAACATTAATCCATCTGTCAGATATAGAATAAGCAGACCAAAAAAAAGACATAAAATGTGCAAAAAAAATCGAACTGGAGAAAGAGTGATGATTAGAAGTGAAAGGTGATTTTTTTTTAAATGTAGGGCTTAAAAGAACATAATTTCTTTGACATTTTACAATTATGCTGTTGCTTCTAGATATATTGAAAATCAGATATTATGGCAATGAACAAGACAAAATTTGGCAGATAGTTGTTTGGCAGTAATTTTATTGAGATAGTCGAATAGCATAAAAAGCTGAAACTTGAAACTTATGCAGTTAACAATGAAAAAAATAAGAAAAGTCACAGGTTCCAAAGTTTGCAGGAAAGCCAACTTCTTCAGCAGTATGACACAGTACTAACATTCTGTGTGGGCATTGCTGAAGTATCCTGGCTGGCACAGTGAGCTCTCTTCAGCCTTGCAAAGGTCTCTGTCCATTCCCCCATGTTCATTATTCACCCCGACATGCCCAGCTGCTGTGCTGTATGGGTTGCTCTCAGCACAGCCAAACCACTTACAACCATTCACACTTCCTGTTAGCAGCCTGTCAGCATTTATTGCTCTCCCAGATATTCTCAGCAATACCTTTGTCTGTTTCTCCTCTTCCTTCTCTCACTGGGCACTGTCTCCACCTATTCCACTTACTCCTTCCACAACACCCACAACACCCACAACACCCACAACACAATACAGGGGGAGGCGATGGTCTCGTGGTATTATCGCTGGACTGTTGACCCAGATAACATTCTGGGGACCCAGGTTTAAATCCTGCCACAGCAGATGGTGAAATTTGAATTCAATAAAATATCTGAAATTAAGGGTCTAATGATAACCATGAAACCAGTGTCAACTGTTGGGGAAAAACCCGTGTGGTTCACTAATGTCCTTTAGGGAAGGAGACTGCCATCCTTACCTGGTCTGGCTGACATGTGACTCCAGACCCACAGCAATGTGGTTGACTCTGAACTGCCCTCTGGGCAATTAGGAATGGGCAATAAATGCTGCCTGGCCAGCAACACCCTCCTCCTGTGAATGAATAAAGGAAATCCACCCCCCTCAGCACCACTGACATCAGCATTAACACCACCAGTTCCCAGCTGCTTTCAGTTCTGATAAAGAGTCACTAGACTTGAAAGATTAATCCCATTTTTCTCTCCATAGATGCTGCCAGACCGGCCGAGTTTCTCCAGCACTTTCTGTTTTTCCCAAGAACTTGGTCAACAGCAAAAAATGGCAAGGTGATACTTCGTGACCATCTTCAGAACTTATGGTTGAGGCTTGTGAACACAATTAAATCTGAGAGCATTGAAAGCTCAAATGAGACACAAGGTGCTGTTTACTACAATCAGTTGTAAGGAAACCATTAACCAAATTTTAGTGGCATGCTTTCCAAGACCACAAATGACTTTGCAAAGAAAAAAGGAGGCAGCTAACTGTTGCAAGCTGACTGTTAACAGATAAGGGCAATCAAGATTCTCCAGATCGTGGAATATGTGTCTGTCAGGCCCGCTGCTACGACTCAAAGCTAAAGAAAATAGACTGAAACTGTGTTCAATCATACTTAGAGTCATCCAGCATGGAAACAGACCCTTTGGTCCAATTCATTCATGCTGACCAAGTTTCCCAAACTAAGTTAGTCCTATTTGCCCGTGCTTGGCCCCTATCTCTCTAAATCTTTCCTATTCACATACCTGTCCAAATGTCATTTAAATGTTGTAACTGTACATGCATCTATCATTTCC